AAAAAAAAAATATTTTAGTTTCTCATAATATTTTATGAAATATTACTCGTCTCTTTAAAAACTTTCAAGATCTTTCAGTGTACGTACTTTGTAACAGCTGCTGCTTTTTTCCATCTCGTTATACTTCCTCCAGCAACTATAGCAAGCTTTATTACTTCATGTCTCTACACGTGCACACGACGGACATATCAAAGAATGAAACTGCCAGAGAGACATATTTCTTATCCCTTTAGATCTATCTTCGCGATTCGTAATAATAATGTGAGTCGAAGAACGTTGAATTCACTCGGTACAATTTTTTTTTATTTTTTATTTCATCTCGTTCGTTTAAATACCACTCGAATGCCGTGCTTGCGAATGTACAATAGCCACTGTTATTTTCATTATTATCATCGTCCATCGATAACAATTTCAAGTCCCTCGACCGGGGACTGTTGAGATAGTGATTTTGCAAATCATTTTTAACACCCAACGGCTCCCGTTTTGCAAATAATTACCACGACTGTGTGTCGAATTATTCAGCCAATTTCTTTTCCACGTTTGTTTTGCTCAATTGATTCACGATGAATACGTTCACTCAGTTGTATTTCTATGATATTTTATCAATTCGTTGCGCGCTCTTGAAATTGTAATTCAAAGATGCCAAATCTTCAATATTTTCAGAAATATTCTTAAAATGTACGTGTACGTACCCACAATATTCTAAGCTGAAATTAAAGAAACGGTGAGTCTCAGTTTGCGAAATAAGAAGTTAAACAAATTCGTTAACTAATAAAATTTAAACTTCTCTCTGATTTCGCGTGTATTGCGTTATATTTCATTTCGAAAATAATTCTCGACATCAGAGGAAATGATGATTCTATACATTAGAGTCAACGTGTTCGTCGTTTCAACCCTCCAGTCTTATTCCATTCTCAAAATACCCTCGTTCGATTCCATCGAATGCTTTTCTCGAATAGAATGCGAAACAGGTTTTCCACGTTTCAGAGGAAACTTAGAACTGACTCTCACAGAATGATCGGAGGATGATAATATACCGCGTGCAACGACTACCAATTGTGTCTTTAATAGTCGGAGATCAAAGTCGAATAGGAAACGGATATTTTTTTTGGAGGATTTTGAAATTTAAGATACTTTGGATTTAGATTCGTTTTAGATTAGATTTCTCTGCTCGTTTCGATCCCGTTTGCATCCGAAAAAACGCGTACAGTAAAACGTACAGTGTTCCTTTCGGCCATTGTATCATGGAAGTGTGTGAATTTGAGATTTGTGGATTTCAGAGGATAAAAATAAAGAGAATTTCACGAATCGCTCGTCATTGGATAGTAAATATGTAATTTTGAAACAGATTAAAATTCGTTCTAACGAATCTCTCTTCTTTTTAAAAATCGTTTAATTTATTAGTCCCTGGTGGCAAAATTAACTCACTGTGATTGTCCCAGTGACTATCTCCTTTTTGAATCAAAATCGTCAATTTCCGACAAAGTTCAAATTTACTACGTACTCTCAGCAGAACTTCAGCCAAAGTTCTCGAGTGTCATTCACAATATGTCAATTCTATTCTCTGTTTCAAGCTTCGTCAGAATCAGCCAATTAGTACCAATATCAGTACCATTATCATTTTCAGTGCTAATATTTGTCTAAAAAGAAAAAAAAAGAAAAAAATTCCTATCATCTTCTCATCTTCATCCACTTCCATTCGAAAGGAATGCACACGCGTACATATTTGTTATATATAAATTACCACCTTGACGATGGATGCAAATGGATTCGAATTAGTGAAACGAGCGTTCACACCCAAGGTAGGCAAGCGTAGGGGGCACACTTATTGTAATTATGCACAAATGGGAGCGAGTGTCTGCCTCTGTGTCAGTGCCTAGGAAGAGAATCGGGATGCGTGTTTCTATGGCCTTGGTTAGGTTGGCCGACGTTGCTACCTGAATGATGTTGGCCTTGAGGCTGTTGCTGTTGACGTTGTTGCTGCTGTTGCTGCTGCTGGTGCAACGGTGCACGTTGCTGGTTAGGCTGGTGTTGTTGGTACTGTTGACGTTGCTGCTGTGCTTGCTGACGTTGTTGTGATTGGGATTGTTGCTGTGATTGAGATTGTTGACGTTGTGCTTGTTGCAACTGCTGTTGCTGTAGCTGTAGCTGTAGCTGCGGTTGGGATTGGTGTTGTGGCTGCTGTTGTTGCTTCGTTTGCTCCAACCCAGCGGCCAAGTAAGAGAACACACAGAGGACCGAGTAGCAGATTTGATCTGCCTGTAATTTCGTACATGACATTGTTTTGCTCTTCGTCTTTCGCGCGTGTGAATAATTTTCCAGCGTTAATGTTAATTGTTATCGTTAGATATTATCAATATTGCGATATTAACAATTTTGGATATTAGTCTGCTGTTAGATTAGTAAGGTTACTTTGCGTGTATCGTGTAAGACATGTCTATTCTGAAACGTTTGGTGATGATATTAAATGATATTAAATGTTTAAATTCTACTGAATAATTACAAAAGAACCAAAGTTTCATTTCCTTTTTTCTTTTTTTTTTTTAATAACAAGGGAAAACAAAATTGATGGTATTTTTAATCCGTTCACTCTATGTAATCTATGAGAAAAGGAATCGAATTTGACATTCTTACGATATAAAGGGAATTTGCGATAGAAAAGAGGAAAAAGCGAGTATTGGATTATGTTGAGTATGACGAAAATGTTGAGTAGGAGAAATAAATGTGATTTAAAAAAGTGGCAACAGAAACTTACATTTAGGAAACGGAAAATAAAAGAGTGGTAATTAAACCTTCATGCATTGTCGTTTTCGGGGTCGGCTTGAACCTCAGACGAGAGTTCAGATAACGTAAAGGCAACGGAGAATATCCTGTGCATGCAGTGGCACAGTTCATTGGCCTGTTACACAGTATAAAAAAAAAAAAAAGAAAGAAAAACGAAATATTGTAAAACGTTGAATCATTACGATGAATAATATAACAACGAGTACTAGATTTACAGCAAGCAATTAAAAAAAAAGAAAAAAAAATACATAACACGATTATTTATACCTATGTAGAATGTAACCGTACGTACCATTTGAGACTTATATTTACGTTGAATTACTTGTCTAGTTTTAGGATCTGAAAAACAAAAGAAATTGACGTTAAAGAAGTCGCGAATGTAAAACATCACATACAAGTTGAAGCACACTATACTCAATAATATTATTTTCCGAATTTTATACAAAAGAGAGGATTTTGTATTTGCTCAAATTATCTTGTTTCTCGTTCAAAGGAATTTGTAAAGATATAATATTCTCTGTAGAGAAATATAAAAACTATCTTTTTCATGAGAAAAATGTGTGTTACGTATGAAATTGTTTTACATTATTTTACATAAAAATAATTTCTATATTATTATTTAAAATATATTTTCCGAATTTTATGTGAAAGAGAGGATTTCGTATCTGCTCAAATTATCTCGCTTCCCGTTCAAAGAAATTTGTAAAGATATAACATTCTCTGTAGAAAAATACAAAAAATATCTTTCTCATGATAAAAATGTGTATTATGTATGAAATTATTTTACAAACGAAAGAAAATATTCTTTTTAATCGAAGATACTTTTTATATGTTTTGCAATCAATATCTCGTCTCGTTTAATTTTCTTTATAAGAAAGAAATTACTCACTGAATTCTTCCAATACAAAGATTCCATCCTTCTGAGTAAAGCACTTGCGGATATGATCGAGTCTTACAAAAAACTGCAAATAACACGATCGTTTTGCATTAGTCGGGATCGGAAACGAGGTGGCTCGTTGATCTACTCTTACATGCACACTTGTGATTAGATTCCTCTATGGCCTTAATATGCCCCGGACAATGTAAACCGTGTGTGCCAACAACATTTCGGAAAGAAAGGCGTGAAACTCGAGTTCGAGAAACAGAAAAAAAAATGCTCAGTTCGATGGTGGGATCAAGCTCTGAATCGTCGACCGTCTCGTACTATCGTATCGGCTAATATGCATCGCAGTGCATCTTTTTTTTTTCTTTTTCAAAGCAGGTCTTTTTTTGGCAAAGAAATTTCTCTGTTTTAGAAATAACTTTAGAGGATATTGTGTCGTTTTGACATTTAAAAAAAAAAAAAATTGCGTTTAAATTTATTACTGCTTTTAAAATATTTTCAAGAGTATTGCATTTTATCTATTTATTTATTTTTTCTTCTTTCCTTTCAATCTCCAAACATTCTTCTTTTCTATTTTGGAAAGAAAATTGGAGAAATCTTAGAGACTTATGATTCGAGAGACTTTAAAAATTTCTAACGAGTTCACATTATTGTTTTTGAATTGCATTCTTCTTAGTTTTTAGGAATTTCCAATTTTCTTTATTGAATCGTATTAATCACGAAACGTTTGCAGAGATATTTCTTCGCCAAATGGTACCAAACCTCATTGCTCTATCGATTAACAATGAAGCTTGGCGTATCGTCTTCAACCGAAATTTTCCTCTTTTCTTTTATCTCAGTCTCGTACATCGTTAACACAGATCGAAGAGAAAAGTTAACGGTACAAGCGAACTGTTCTCTCAACTACACTCTCTCGAAACAGTGGCTGTTAATAGTTCCTCTCTGTCACCGAACTTTTCTCCGAGCATAAGTGTCTCGATAAGCCTACTTGTGTGACTGGTCTCGAAAGAACTATCTTTGAAACTCATGCACGTTCAAGTATACTCGAATCAAAGCCTTTGTTTATAAATCCATTCAACTGTCTTTGTTCGTTTTTCAATTTATAGAAAGATGCTTTTCTTTTTCTTCGAGGAGAGATATGAAATAAGAAACTTTTAAATTAACGTAACGATGAAATTTGAATGTAATATTTAATATAATATTATAATTATAATATTTAACACTGTATGATAGGAACTTTTATTGGATTTCCTTTATTGCAGTCTTTTCATAGCAATTTAACTTAAATTTTCACAGATTGTTATCAATTAGAGAATAATTAGTAATACCAGAAATTAATTCTTGTATTCATCATCATTAATGATAATTTTATAAATATTCAGAAATATAAATAATTCATTTAATGTTAATTCATATACCACAAAATTTCCTTTTTTCCTTTCTTTTTGTAATTTATGACTATTAATAATAATAATATTTTTATTATTTTTATTATTAATATTATATTAAATATTAAATATTATATTAATATGATATATAATAATATAATATTAAATATTAATATATTATATTATATTAAATATTATATAAATATTATATTAATATTAAATATTATAATAATATTGATATTTCATATTACCATATTCATATTTTCAGTCAAATACTTCCTACGTATCATTGAAATTTCTTACATAAATGCGGTCAACGTTGATTTAAAAAAAAAAACGAAAACATATATTAAATTGATAATCGTTCATTACACGTTAAAGCAATTTCTCCAAGTTTCTTATTCCTCTGGAACATGTATCTCTCCCTCATCGTGCATACATTTCCTCTTCAGAATGTATATTTCTCATGGGGCAACGATTTCATCCTTTCTGATTCGTGTATAACGAAAACGATCGTACGTCGGCTAACATGCAAGGAATTAACGAGCACATTGTCAGATAAAGCTGCACACACCATGCATCATTTTCTCCGCTAATTTAAAAGCCAAGTCATCCACTTAGCGGGCCTCGAGTTTCGATATAGAAAGCGGGCCTGAACAAGCTGGGCCTAATCGCGAGTATTGGCCGCGGCTGATCGCATTTCCGGCTGGAACAAGGCGCACAAAACAAAAGCGAGATTACATTACTTGGTGAACAGTGAGAGAACGGTTCAAAGAAACTCTACAGAAAGCAGAAATATCACATAGAGCAGCGGTCTAATTACAGCGAATTTCTTAACTTTTGCAAACAAAATATTTCTTCTTTTTTTTTTTCTTTTTTTTTGTTTGTTTGTTTTCTAAAGAGGTTCAGCGGCAGGCAGGCAACTCTGGAGATGGCCTAAACTCATCGAAAAATGTATAAATGTCATCGAGATTGCTCGGCGTCGATAGATCTGCTATAACATGTGCATTGGTATATCTGAAATGCGCGAAAATTGGGATTTGGCCCGGTTGATTTCACGTTGTTTTTTTCTTTTTTTTTAAATTTTTGAGTTGTTTCTTTTCTTTTTTTTTTTTTTTTTTTTTTTAATTTTTTGGGTTGTTTTTTTTTTTTTTTTTTTTTTTTTTTTTTTTTTTGTTGAATGATGCACAGTTAACATTCGGTCGATCGATGGATCGACCGGTTGGACGATTGCGCGTGACAGTGGTTGAAGAGGGGGAGGTTCATTGTGTTTGAGATCCGAGGAGGATCGAAACATCGTGTACAGCGGTGCCATGCTGTTGAACAGTGTCTTTTAAACTTGTTACACCGTTACACACGTTTTCAAACATTTTCTATCTCACAGTAGAAGTTAGATTATTTCTCGTCTTTGACTCGGTTTAATAATTTTGGATTTTTATCAGTCAATTGATCAATAATTGGGTTTTCATTGTATTCATTGAGAGTTTATTAGTCTTGAAAGAATAGCAAAGAAGTTTGTAGATAAAAGAAGGAGCCAATAATATAGTTTCTTTCTTAAAATTAAATATACTGCATCCTAACTGTATTGATATTTCTGGAAAATTTACAAGATGATCAATACATTTCCAGAAAGCTGTAAGTTGAAACGTAAGTTTAACATGTATCGAGAAACTAACTAATGTGTATTAAGAGTTCCACAGATTTCATAAAATTTGTGAAATATTTTATCAGAAATATTTGAAATATTAAATATAAATTTAATATTGAAATATAAATTTCTGAAATACTTTTTCTACATATCATTATTATATGTAATTACACTATTAGCAAATGTTAAAAATTTGTGAAAATTCCCTATAATTTCTCTTTTTCTTTGTGATTTTCATAGGTGTTTGTTCTCATAAATATTTAGAAAACATTTTACAACATTCGTACGAATTTTTCTTTTTTTTTTTTTCGAAGTTGAATTTTTCATCAATTAAGAGATAAACAAACATACCGATCACTGGTGTATTATCAAAGTTTGAAAAACACTGTCATAGAGAGATATACGTGTGTGTGTGTGTGTGTGTGTGTGTGTGTGTGTGTGCATGTCTGTGTGTACGTGTATGAAGTTCGAAGAAGATATCGGGCTATTTTCGAGTTGCTTCCCCCCCACGGCTTGTGATAGTTTTCATCAAATCAGACATCACTATATAGCACGATACCATTGCTCTACTACATAACTGGCAACGTGAGAGTGGTTTCAATATAGATGGTTCTGCAAAAGCGGGCGACTTTCTCTCTATCGTACATATATATCGAGAACTACTCATTCATGCAGTGCATTCGAATTTCCCTAGAGACGTACATAAACATTCATCTCTATTTGTTCATCCCTAACAGGAAAAGGAGGCTCTCGATTAAAAAAGAAAGCAAGATATAATAATGATAATTCCAACGATAACCGTCCTGTTGATCATAATTTTTTCATTATCTCTGCCATTTTCTTCCTCTTCTTCTTCTTCGTCTTCTTTTCGTTAATAGTCGTGTCTGTCACCCGGTTTTGCGCGGAAATTAAGACGTCGATAAAAAAATAAATTTTTAGGCGCTACGTGACATTATTCTTTATATATATTATATATAAAGAATAAATGTACATATATATACATATACATGCTATAATAATAATAATTCAACATATACTTCTCATATACGATCGTACTCTGGAATTTTTCCTGGAGTTTTAGGTTTTTAGAAATTGGTAGTTTTGACAAAGATAGGTGGATGTGAAATGAATGTTTGAAATCGTGTTGCGATTTTTGCCAAAGGCGACTAAAATGAAGTTATTTTATTTCTTTTATTTTATTCTGTATAATTCTTAAATTCTTCCGAATAATATTTATAAATATTGTTAATTAATTTTAATCACGATCATTGATTGATTTATTTATTTTTTTACGGATATTTTGATTCTTTGCAAAGGATACAAATAATTTCGATTGAAATCCGTATGATGTAGCATTATTTGCTATTAATTATTAGTAATATTAATTGCTACTATCAATTATTAATTTTTATCAGAAATTTCTAATAAAAAAAAATTAACAATCCATCGAATTGACTTTTATTTCAAAAATAATTTTCATTTCTTCAAATTATTTTAAAGAATCACGCTAGATGTAAATTTCAGAAATATTAATCAAGAATAAAAATGTAGCAACTCGTGAAACACATTTTTTTCAGTTCAAATCGTAATAAACTTCTTATTGTTGATTATTAATTTCTTCGAAGGCGCGAAAGAATATCGTATCGACGTTAACTCACGAAGATTATACGACGTGTGCAAACAATAAATTAATTATTAAATATCAAGTATTTTAAATCGATAACAGTTAATTACCACTGATCGACCCCGAGGTTCACGCAACACGACTTCAAAAACACTTCTCACACACACCCCGATTATAATTATTATACTCTACGTACAGCAATAACAGCGCGTTTATCGAATTAATACACCGTATCATCCTTTTTTTTTTTTCATTTTTCATCGCCAATTTCAGTACCAAGGTCCTCTTATAATCATTTGTTAATTTAGAATATCAGTGAATCGACGAGAAATTTCTTACAGTTTCACAATTTTATAACTTTGTGATTTTAGAATTCTGACTGACTTTCGAATTCGTTTGTCCTGTGTTAAGAAAATTCACGAATATTGACAATTTGCAAAATAATTGGGTGAATTGTGTAAACGCTGTTTGTACAAGACGTTGGTCGCAGAAAGATTGACTCTCTGCATTTCATTCGATCTCGTTAATATAATCCATCGATAAGATGGATTATAATTTACAGCAAAATTGGGATAGGGAGAATTCCGCGGCTCGAAATCAACCAAAATTAGTAGAGTAACTTTCGATCGAAATACCTGAGCTTTACTTTCCGAGAAATATTATTTTGAGAATCACTGGAGACATTTCACGCAATCATGTTACGCTGTGTCTTTCTCGTTCACGACAATGGACCTCAAAAATGCAATACAATAATATAGAAACGCTTGCAGTAGCAAGACCAATTTTAAAAGTAACTTTAAAAAGACGAACCATCGATAAAAATTTATCCCATTGTTTCGATATCTCTCGAACCGTAGAATCCTCCACGTACCCGTATGTACTACAAATTACAACCCACTCAGAGTACATTTACACGAAAATACAGAACACAATGGCGCACGGAGAAAACAGATACCAGGTGACGTTGACTTACGAGTCTGTCCCACGATATATAAGAGATGTATAAAAGGCCATATGATGAAAAATAATATACATAGCATATATGTATATATATATGTATATAATTGCATTGAGTGCACCAAAACATTGCTCTACAGGTTGCACTAAACACTACTCACAGATAATAATACTCTCATCTAAGGACAATCTTGTCGGACTCAAATATATCGAGAAATGCAGCAGTTCCTGCATATTCTATATATGTGCGTATATACTTATGTACGTATATAAATGATCGCCTGTACATTGTATATAGATATATAAATATATACGTAATATGTCACTGGTAATACCTGAGCCAGCCTGACGGTAATGGATGTATATCATATATATATATATGGGGAACATATAGGTACATACGTATGTATATATATATATATAAATATACGTACTTTAACGTAATATATATATATATATATATATATATATATATATATATACATAGACGTGTGTATATGTCACAACTAACACCGATCGATGATAGGAAAACAGTAAGGTAGACAGAGCAAATCAGTTCAAATTTAAATGCACTGGTTAAGAGTGTAGTAAATAGTAGTATAGTATAGTATAGTATAGTATAGTATAGTAGTAGTAGTAGTAGTAGTAGGTAAGTAGTAAATAATAGTATATATGGTTAATAATAATAATAATCATAATAATCATAATAGTAATCATAATAATAATCATAATAATAATACGGCTAAAAGTAATGGTGAAATAAAGAAGCATTTCCGGAACACGGCCAACACTGATTATAATTAATATACTGAGTTCATATAACAAACAGTGATTGAATTTGATTAGTACCTCGAAATCCTGTGTATGCCCAGCCCAGGGGCAATGTCGACGGACAGGACAAGAAAACAGAAAACAGAAAAACAGAAAATTAAATTTCTGCCAACAATCAATTGATTACAATAGAGATCCATTAGAGATCAATTAGAAATATTTAGAGAAACGTTGGGATTATATATATCTCTCGGGGCTCTCTCGGTTGTATCACACACGATGATTATAATATTACTGCTACGAGATTGATTGTATAACACCTTATGGTACGATCGTGGCCAATTTTTAAGAAATCAGCGGTGATTGTTCATTGTTCAAGGACCATCTCAAAAGTTCCCCAAGCTGAGAAAAGTCTATCGATAATCTGTCTGAGATACTCGCGATATCAATGAATCCTGAATTCAATCGGCATCGATTGCC